CCCCGAATTTTAAATATGATCATAAATGTGAGGTTTATAGCTTTGGAATCTTACTTTGGGAAATCGCTGAAATGAAATTTCCGTATCAAGAGCATGATGATATTATGACTATAACCGAACTTGTACTTAAAAAGAAATTTCGAGAACCTTTTTCTGAAATAACCGGATGCCTATCGGTATTCCAAAATTTAGCAATAAATGGTATGTAAAGTATGCGTTGATTTTTCTTTGTCTCACAAAAATTATAATTTATTTTCTTTCTGTTTTTTAGCTGTTAACCAAGATCCAGATTTTAAGCCAAGAATTACAGACATGTTCAGAATACTTCGAGATTGTCACAAAGAATTCATCAAAGCTCCACCATCATCTATAAATTCGCAAAAACAAGGTTACATGCAAACAAAACTAAAGAACCCGGCAATACCAACTCCAAAACGAAAATTCAGTATGGACCAAGATGAATTTGCCATAAAAGATGAAGATTTACCAGATTCCGAGTCATTCAATTACATGACACTTGCTGAAGCAGAAAAGCAGCATCGATTGATTGATAGAAGTGGTAATATCGCTGGAGATTTAACCAATGCGTACAAATGTTTCGAAACGTATGCAAAGTTCAATCAAGTCAAAGCTAAATATTATAAAGCATATTATATTTCAAAAGGATATGCTGATTCGGGTAATATTAAGGACAAAGAAAAGGTTATTGCGGAATTATTTAAAGAAGTTGCTGATGATGAAGCAAATGAATTTCCTGAGGCGAAATTAAGATATGGGGATTGCTTATATAATGGTAAAGGTGTTAAACAGAATTTGGTGGAAGCCCTCAAATATTTTGAGAAAGCTGCCGAAAATGGCCTTAAAGTGGCAATGTATAATGCTGGAAATCTACATTTTAAAGGTTGTGGCGGTGATAAAAGAGATTTACAAAAAGCTGAATATTATATGAAATTAGCTGCGTATATTGAATATCCTCCCGCAATCAAGTTTTGTAAAGAACATGATTTTTATTGATCGTTTTTTATGTAATATATTATAAATTTTTTTTTTTAATGAATCATATTATCGGTGAGTTGAAAATATTATATTGATTTTTTTTATCTTCAATTAATTATATGCGAGATTCTGTAAGAAAAAAAGAATTTCAAAGAAAGTTAATTGCTACACAAATTACTTCGTTACATTCTTCGATTAGTTCCCATAAAACATCGCTCTAATGAATTTAAAATATTAACAACACGGGATATGAGTTATATACTTAAAATCACTATATTATTAAACAGTTGGATTTTTGATTAAAAATCTATTTCGGTCCCAAAATTTTTCTTAATAATATAATAAAATAGCGCACTTTCAATCCCACAAGTTCTAACAAATGAATTGTCTTTAAACATCAATCGCTCTCCACCGCTCTATTTTACTAAGGCAATTCTTATGGTATATATTGTAAGCACAATAGAATTTCTAGAATACGACTTTTCTAGCTCCAAACAAAGGAATGGCTCTAGCCTTCATGCGTCAGGGTACTGGAAAGCATAAAAAGAAATTGAACGGTCACGAGTCCAATATATCGAAACGGATTTTCCACTGAGTAACCTTCAAAAAATGTCTCGTGATAATATTTGTCACCGATGTCACTTCCCTTCGCGTTTCATTTTTCCTAAGTATTATGGGGGACTTCAGAATTTTCAGTAATTAAAAATCTATTTGTCACCTCTATATGTCACATGTGCGCCACAATTAATTCCAGCCAAATGCCGTGATGCCGGCCATTTCGTGACATTTTTGAAGGTTACGCAGGGGAAGTCCGTGAACTCATAACTGCGGCACTATTGTGCCTTACAATAAGCAATGTAATAAGTGAAATTTGCTGAGCGGAGCTCAGCAAATTTCGCCAATCACATTGCTTATTGCAAATACTACAGTTACTCGGCCGAGTAACTATTAAAAATTCAAACATTTTCGTTCATTTATTATAATTTTGTAAAATAATACATGAAAAGAAACTGACCAGCTAAATGATGAGAAGCTGATAATTTTAATTTTACGATTTTTTTTGGATGATTAACTTTGTTTTTGTTGATAAAAATTATTCTTATATGATTTATTTGTCAATAACGTTCTATAGATCGACAGATCGATCTCCGATGCGATGTACTCCGGAGCTGACAAAGGTGGTGAAACTTTTTCATTTGCCAAATGCAAGATTATCGTCACGTGACGAAATCTTCATTCGTTGAACAAATCGGAACAAACTTGACCTTCGCTCCGTGGAAAAATCTGGACGTAATTGGCCATAATTATGATGAATGAATACCGAACATTCAACAAATTCATCATGTGAGAGATAAGCAACATCTAATCTCTTATGAGAATCAACAATCAAACTTACTTTAAATGCACATCATGTTTTGGTTCAGCAGCATGAGAATTAGGTCGGTCAATATAACCAAACTAGTAAGTTTGCAGATATTGTGACAATAAATTTAGAACTACATATAAAAAAAAAAAAATAAAAAAAAAAAATTTTAAATTTATATATCTCATCATTTTAAAAATAAATAAATAAATAATGTCTGCGTCAAATGAATTGTATGAGTCATGGATTGAGAACGCCATAAGAAATCAACACATTCAGCTGTTTAGCCACGAAGATTTTATAAATAAGGATAAGTGCGGAAAAGGTGGATTAGGTCAAATAAAATGTGCTAATTGGCAATATTCAGATGGAAAAGTAGCATTAAAGGAATTATTTGATTACAACGTTCAAAGATTCGTACAAGAGGTAACTTCATTCGTTTGCATCTTTTTTTTTTTTTCATTCATTCATTTATTTATTCAACTTTATGTGTAGGTGAAAATGCATATCTCATGTCATTGGAGCGAATATGTTGTACGTTTCTTTGGATTGACAAAAGGTTAAATTGGTTATGCAAAAGTTTTTCATATTATGTAAAGTAAAAAAAAAAAATTAATCGATGCAATATCAACTTTATTCATTCATTTTGACAGAATCCCCAAACGATAATAAGTACATGATGGTTATGGAATATGCCAACTTTCAAAGTCTTCGAAATTTTTTAAAAGTTAAAGGAGTAACAAACATTGATTGGAAGGTCAGATTTAAACTTTCGCTTGACATAGCCAAAGGACTTAATTGCTTACACTCGCGTAAAATCATTCATCGTGATTTGGTAAGAACCAAACAAAGATCTTTTTAATTCTCATTTATTGTAAAATCTAATCTATTGCACTTTTTTGTTTCTCTTAAAAAATAAATATATGTAAAAGCATACTGATAATATAGTAATAAATCAAATATATTGGAATAAAAACTGTTGTCAACCGAAATTTATAGCAAAAATCACAGATTTTGGGGAAGCAATATTAAGGGATGAAATATTGAGTGATGAAAAAGGTTTTGGTCAGCCTGAATTCACAGATCCCAATTATTTGAATAGTAGGATAAAAAGAGATGAGAGATCGGACATTTATGGTTTGGGAGTTATTTTTTGGGAAATTTCATCTGGTAAAATGCCATTTGAAAATCATGCTCGACACTCTCAAAACGATATAATAAATTTAACAATTCAGATAATAAATGGAAAACGTGAGGAAGTACCTCAACAAACTCCAAAACTTTATTCCCAACTCTATCAAGATTGTTGGGTCCTTGATCAAAGTAAACGACCGACACTTGAAAATATTATCAGGGTATTAAATGTTTTCAAAACGGAATATAGAGAAGGTAAAAAGACTTGTTTTTCAATTGAATTCACGTTTAAGCATAAATTAAATTGCAATTATCATATAGTAGATGCCAGTACTGATGAAGAAAATAACAATGCTCAACAAGATAATGTATCAAATAACAGTAGTGAAATGGAAGCTGATAATGAAACTTATGTAACGGATAATAATCTTCATGACTTGGATGTGAAGAATTTCTTAACTAGGAATTGAATGTTGAATTTGAAAGTTTCTTAATTAAGGAAATTTAGAGTAGTAATAGACGCAATTAAAACCATTAGAATCAACCTTGATTATGTGAAAGCTTTCTTAGTAGAAGTAATTCATCGTAACATTGACAAAAAAAATGCCAGTCGGAAAAGCAATAGAAAAAGGAAATTCTTTTATCATGAAATTGCAATTACGTAGGTTATATAGATAAAAAATGATACAGAAAAGTATAAAACACAAGAATTCAAAAAGTCATAAGAAATGGGTTTTAGCTTCGTGAAGAATATTGAAGAAATTGACATGTGCGTTATCGCAAAAGAGTAACGAGAATTAATCACCGAATAGGTCACGAGTACAAATGTATGCGAAAAAAATAAAGTTTAATCGTTTATCAAGAATTTCAATTATTTAATTGTTTTAAAGTTGACGGAGTATGCGTGAAAAAAAAATAACATTTACCATTATTTTCTATTTTTTATTTACTTTTAATGAATTAGGTTAAAACAAAATAAATCCACAAAAACAGATGTACTAATCAACTTAGGTACATAAAATAGTTAATATCATAAAATATGTAAAAGTTTATCATAAACCATTTCAATTGTTGGCCTATTTGACGACTTCCCATCCCAACAACTCTCATAAAGTTCAATATATTTTTCAGGAGCATTAATAATTTTGTGTTCTCTATAGCCATCTTCTTTGATCTTGCGAACCAATTTTAAAATACCTTCGTCTTTATTCTTTGAATATGGAATTTTACCACTTAATATTTCCCACAGCAAACTTCCAAAACTATAAATATCCATTGATTTATTCTTTTCAAAATCTTCATTTAATAATGAAGATGGATCGATGTATCCGATATTGTCAAAAAATTGTTGATCAAAAAAAACGGATTTGTTTTTTTCATATGGTAATGGCAAGTCCGAGATTTGTGCCATTCCTTCAAACATAAGGATATTTTTTGGATGCTATAAAAAAAAAAAAATAAATTAAAATAAAATAAAAAATAAAATACTATTATTTAATAAAAAGCAAAAAGGAAATAATCAAAAAAACTTCACTTACTAAATTTTCATGGATGATATCTTTTATGTGTAAAAATTTGATGCCGTCTGCAATGTTTATTGCAATGCCAACCTTTTTCTTTAAAGAAAATTCTTTGTTTTTTAAATAACTCCTTAAATTACCTTCAAGAGCAAATGGTATTATTAAAAAAGCGTTGCAATCTTCATCTATAGAAACCAAAATAATGTTAACCTTTTTTTTTTAAAAAAAAAAATACTAAAGTTATTTACCTTCAAATATTCCTAAACATTCAATAATGTTGGATTTTCTACATGCTTTGGTCCAAAAATTCAACTATAAAAAAAATATATGTATATTAATAAAAAATAGGAGAGCATCAATAATTACCGATCAACTTTTTTACAAACTTACTTTTTTTCGTACCAATAACGATTTTTCATTTTGTAATTTCTGTAATTTCTTAATAATAACTTCTTTGCCCGTTACCATCGTTGCCGACCTAATATTACTTTGACAATTTTCAAACTTTCGTATGTTAGTTATTTGACTTTTGTCAATTTTATTGAACTCATCGTCAACAAATTTAAATCCATCATCTTGATGATTTAATCTATCCCTAGGATTACTAAAATTAACTGGACCATTGTTAAATTCATTATTAAAATAATTTTGAGGTAATGATCTATATATCGATATGGAATTTTCGGAAAATATATTATTGTTATGCTTATTGGGATCAAAAATGATTCCGTTTTGAAATGATTTGTCAATTTCTTGATAATCTAAATCAAAATTATATGATTAGGGTAACGTTAAACAATAAAAGGCTTTTTGATAAGTATTATTAGGCTTACTATAATCTTGTTCAGGGGTTTCATTATATCTAGTATTATGAAAATTTTCCGAACCTTTAATTAAAAAGGATCCAATTAGATTTTTTTTTTTTTTAAAAAAATAAAGGGGGAAAAGGAAGAAAGAAAATATTATACAATCTTACTCGTTGCTTGCTCAAGTATATTACTGGTTTGCTCTGACGAAACAACTCGATTGACAATTTGTTTGATATGGGAGGGATCAAAATCAAATATGAATTCGTCTGAAAAAAAATCTACCACTTCATTAATCGTAGGACGATCCGAAGGAACTGTGTTCCAACATTTGGTAATTAATTCCTTGAGTAAAGGTGGAATGTCTCTGATAAACAGTGGTCGATCCTCATTATTGATACTTCTTGGAAATTCGTAAAATGGTTCTTTTTCAAAAATAATATTATATAAAACCATTCCAAGTGAATATATATTAGATGTTTGACTAACTTTGTTATCCCCTAAAATCTCGGGTGCGACATAAACTATTTTCGATCCTTGTCTGAAATTGATAAAAATAGAAATTCTTGCGTTATTAAAATCGTCTATTAAAATATTGTTTGAATTAAAATATCCTAAACTAATGTTTGTATCGTGAATATTTTTTAATCCGATTACTATTTCCTTCATCATTTTATATTTTTTATTCAAATCTAATTTATTCTCTTTCAAATATTGTCCCAGGCCTTTCCCATCTTCCATAACTAAAATATATTCACTTGATTCCGGATTTAAGGAAAATCCAAACAATCTAACAACATTATTTCTAATCCGTAGATAATTCTTTATCTAAATTTAAAATTAAAAATTAAAATTAAAAATTCACCGAACGCTATGCAAATTAATTATGTGAATCTTTTTAATACCTGTGAAAGAACTTCAGAAAGTTTCTCCTCTTTGATGCATTGCAACCCAACTTTAATGTTATTGTTTTGTCCAAGTTCGATATTTTCGTCTATCAAAAGTGCTACATAATATCCTTTGCTTTCATCATACACGACGTCTTTCAACCTATTATAATTTATCCATTTAAATTCATAAAACGTTTGATATTGGGTTTCTCGTATGAACCTCTCCATAATTTCTTTTCCGTTGATCCAACCTTCATTTTGTCGCTTATTATCTTCATAAAATGATTGAGAATTCGATCCAGAAGGGTCAGAAGGGTCATAATCAAGCATTTCAACATCATTATCGGGTTCCAGCGAACTTTGTTGATTTTCTTGTTTTTCTTTATGGCTCATAATTAAAAAGTATAAAGTCCGATTTTATTATAAATTAAAAAACAACAATTATTTATGATTGTCGGAGAGGAGCTCCACTCCTTATGTTGTGATACATGTTGTTCTTTTATAAGAAGAAATGATCGTCAAAATTAGAAGATATTCCCGGAATTTTCTATTTAAACCTTCCTTTTTTTTTTTTTCCTTCTAGAGTATTTATATCAAAGATTCATTTTTTTTGTGAAATTAAACCAAACCAATTTTTTTTTTTCCTTTCGAGATTTTTCTATATAACTGTATATAAATCAACCTTTTGGGTCAAAAGAAAAAGGATTATCATAGATTTAGTTTCTTTGCGAAACCTTCGATTTTTTTGAACAAAAAAAAAAAAAAAAAAAAAAATCATCGTCGTAAATTATAACAATTTCTCGCATATTTTTCGAAATTAAATATATTTATAATCTAAATTTTTTTTGAAAATTTTACAAAAATTCAAAAAATGTCAAACGTAAAAAATGAATATAAAATTAATAGCGTCGGCAGTACCTATGCGGCCAAAACAATGAAATGCGTTAATGAGGCAGTAGCACCTTTCTTGCCTCTTGTGATCGTGATAACTACCCTAACCAAAGAAATAGCGGATGCTTATGAAAATGTTCAATATAATAAAAAGACATGTGGGGCTTTAGTAACTCGAGTCGAAGCCGTAGAAGTTGCGATTAAAGGGTTAATAAGGCAAAAGGAAGAGAATATTGATAAATTTTGTAGTCAAAGTTATTATAATTCCTTTTCAAAGTTAGCCAACTGTTTAAAGCAGATTAAAGAATTTTTTAATGATATTTCTCAATTATCGAAATTTAAAAAATTTGTTTCAAGTAGAAGCATAAAGGACACCTTTGAAAAGATCATAAAAGATCTTGATAGTTGCTCGATTGATCTGAATTTGGCAATATCGATTGCCACGGAACAGTTAAATTCAATTTTACATTCCGATATGATTGAAATGAAGATGTTTTTAGATAATATTGAAGGTGGTATTACATCTTTGGTCAATAATAACAAAAAAATCGATAATTCCACCGAATGTAGCGTAAATAATAATAACATCGTTATTAAAATTAATAACATTGAAGAGCAGAATAAAAAAATCATTGAACAAAATAATGAACTCTTAGAATACAAGGACAAGGGCAAGCATAAAACGCTTAACTTTATTCCACTCAACGGAGAAATTGATGCGATTCGTTTCTTGAATGAAAATGATACAACTTCAAAGGTTGACCCAGAAGCGAAAGCAAAGCAAATTGAATATTCAGAATTGACAGAAGCGGCAGAAAAAGTAATTCGTGGTTCCAAGAAAACCGTTTTAAAAAAAGTTTATAAAACAATAGATGTTGCTTGCAAACAGATTCCTATGGACAAGATTGTTCAAAAGCATCTTGCTATTTTGGGAAAGTTAGAAGCTTGTCCACATATTATTCGGTTTTATGGATTATCAAAGTTAGACCGAGTTGATGTAATGGTTTTTGAATGGGCCGAATACGGAAATTTAAGGGAGGTTTATCTCGAGTATAATATTGAATGGGACACGAAGATTTCTTTGGCAAGAGATATTTGCCGTGGTCTAATTTTTTTACATGCAGGTATGAACATTTGATTTTCGTGTTTCAAGATGTGTCAAGGAATGATAAATTAACGTAATTTACCATCAAAACTCAGTGAAGATTTTGCATCATGACATTAGGTGTGAGAATGTGTTAATTACCGAAAAAATGCAACCTAAAATCTGCAATTTCAAATTTTCTCGAGAATTTAATGCTGTCACCAGTCAAATTGATGATATGAATGCTATCGTACATTGGTTGGCTCCTGAAAAGTTAAAAAACATAAATTCGGATCAAGACTCGAAAAAATATAATAATAAAACAACTAGTTATACCATTCAATGTGACATTTTCAGGTTAGTAAATTGACCTTTTTTTTTTTTTTGTCATTAATTTCGATTCGATTCTTAATTTTTTCATTTAAAAATTTTTTTTTTAGTTTTGTAATGCTTCTTTGGGAACTTGGCTTTCAAGAAAGGCCATATGACGATAAGAGCATTTCTGAAATACAAAAACACGTTTTAAAGGGTCATAGGGAAAGGTTGGACGATGGATTAAGTTCAAATCAAATCAAAAAAGAGTATTTCGCAATTATTAAACTTGGTTGGGAACAAGAACCATCATTACGACCGGGGATTCAGCAAATTTTCAATATGTTACAGAAGTTATATGAGAAGCATGTCTTAAAGTATTCACCGAGATTACGTCCGAAGGAAGAAGATATAGACGTTGATGAAGAGATACAAAATTTATCAGTTTTGGATCATGATAAAAAGGTTATACCATTAACACCATTCAAGGAAGGTTTAGTGGCTCACAAAAAACATGATTATAACAAGGCGTGGAATTGTTTTGAGGAACACGCAAAGGTTGGAGATATATTGGCGAAATACTGGCAGGGATATTATTACTTGGAAGGAAAATACGTTGAAAAGAATCTTTTAAAGGCTAAGGAATTATTTAAAGAAGCAGCAGATGGTGGAAATGCTGATGCTCAATTACGTTATGCATTTTGTTTAATTGATAAGGAAAATGAGCATATCGACTATCAAAAGTTTTTAAAATATTTGAAAATGTCGGCTGATAATGATAATTCCACTGCCCTTTATAATCTGGGTGAAATGTATTTCAATGGTAGGATGGGTGTTGCAAAGGATCGAGAAAAGGGTATTCAATATTTAAAATTGGCTGCTTTAAAAGGTCAACTGAAAGCAAAAGATATTTTAAGAGCCAATGATATTAGTTATATTTTTTGATGCTCATAACTTGTATATTGATGTATCATTTTTTTTTTTTTTGTTTATAAATAAATACGATATAAAAATTTTGAACATTCGTCCGGAAAATTAGTGAAGTAAGTTACCTTGTACTGTACTTGTATTGTCGGCCTGGAACCAAACAAAATAAATATGAAATCTATTTTATACGTAAATCGATGCAATGAGTTCAAGTCGTGAACCGCTCCTCAACAATTTTTATGAAAAGAAACTAAAGCATAAGATTCTTCGGTCGGTACAGTAATTGTATATTAGAACCTTCATGAAATTCTGGACTTTCTTTACATACTATTATTAGTAAAGCGTTTATCAAAATTATTCATCTCTACCAAAGAAAAATCACAAGAAAGAAGGAAAAACTGAAAATTCCCCATCATAGATAGTAATTTTATCTGCTCTGGAGTTTTTTACTTTGAGCTCCAGAAAAGGTTTTGAAAGGTCTATCATTTTTTGAATTTATCCATATTTAGAAATATTAAATTTCAAATTTATGTCTAGATCATCCCATAATTCTGGATAATTGTATAGATACAGTACATCCAAAAAGGTTGTTATTCTACGAAAAAGACAAAAAATGAATTTATATACGTTTACTCATAACTTGTTTCGTTAACGTTATTAATAATAGAAATGTTTTTTATTGTCAATAACAATGTTGCGCCCCAATTGTCCCAAATTAGACGATGCCCCAGTTTGAAATTTCAAGTTAGACTACCCGAAATTGAAATTTCAATTCTGGGCAATATGGATTTGCCCCAAATTTGGGGCAGATGCACAACAATATCACGTACTGCAATAAATTTTTATTTTTAAGTCAAAGTTAATTAAAAAGAACTTCGTGACCTACCACGAATTCACAATCGTTCATTATAGGTGGATGAAGCTTTGATACCTGAACGTTTGAACATATGTTGGTTAATTTTAAATGTCCATTGTAATTTCTCTTCTTTGAAGGTTATTGTATTTCAAATTGAATGGTAAATATTATACATTGTCTCAAAAAATAACGATCAAAGAATCAAGACTTATGCTTTATTCCTTTATTCGCCTTACATAAATTAATAATAAATAGATTAATGGGCACCCTCGCCACATTTTCCGAATCCATAGCTTTATTTTATTTTATGATATAAATGCTGACACACACCGCACTTCTTGTAAAATGTGCTTCTTTATTTTACCATAAATTAATTTAAGTTATACCATTATTTATCGTAATGAGGGAACAGATGTAAATTACCAGTACGGAAAAAAACGTACCGATCTGCAAACCATTCTATTTACTTTATTTTTAAACAAGCTTTAATCCGAATTAATAATTTGAAATTTTACATTTTTATCAATTCAACAACTAATCCATAAACAATAATGATGATGATAGTTATGCTATTTATAAAAAGTATTGTGATTGTGATTCTTCAAAGTGCATGACATTATTCTCTGGCACATCATATCTGTATTCTTCATTGCTATTGATTCATGTATAAGAACCTATCCAAAATTAGAAAGGATAATAAGTTTAAATAAAAACACCGCCACTGGCCTTTTAGATTTACAGAGCGTTTAAAGACAATAATATTTAACATCCAAAATTTAATTGTTGAAACATTTGAGTAAATACTGCATATACCGAAAGTTTAAGGTTGCGGGGCAAAACCCTATTCCCAGTTTGGCAAAGGTCTGAACCTTTCAATTCGAAGGATCGATGCCCGTAGAAACCTCTGGGCTTTGCCCGGCAACCTTAGAAAGTTCCAATTGCAGATGAAAATCTTATACGTCTCTTTCAACAACATTTAGCTATAATTGTTATCTTAATTAAAGTCTAGCGGCGATGCCCAATGCTTCGCTGACGCGAAATGAAATAGATATTGAATACTCTAATTTTCAATAATATCTTTAAAAGGTTTTTGCATACGTAATAAAATAAACTGACCCTAATCCTAATCCGAATCGCTAACCCGTAATTGATAAATTATTCAATCTTAACCCTAATCCTCAATTAATGTTTTTTTTTTTTGATAAATATTAACTCAAATTAGTAAATAATCTTACCAATCATATATAAACTGTAAATTAATCTATAAAATTATAAAATTATTATAAATTCTAATTCAATCTGTTAATCTGTTGTTAGTAAAAT